TGTATAGTACCGTACCGAGCGAATGTCGAAACACCGGTACGGTACGATATTTCAAACCTTGGTTGCTACAAAGCAAGGATTGAAATACCGTACCATACCGGTGTTTCGAGCTTGGCTCGGTATGGTATGATACGGTCCTATGTACCGAGCGGTACGCCAGGGCATACCGAGCGGTATACCTAATTTAGGTGTAAAATCTTTCAAAAATACCTAAAAATAAAAAAAGTTAGGATAGGATTTTTAAGTTAGAAATAAATATAGTAATAATATAAGTTTAGCAAAATTAATGTAAATTAGGTAAGAATAGTATCACATATCTTTTCGGGCTTTGAGGAATAGTCTTATACAAGGTTCGTATTTTAGCCCGTTATGGATTGTCCTTACGTAAATATTGAAATATCAATAGAAAAATTATTTGAATTGTTAGACTATTTTATTAAAATATAAACTCTAAAATTCAAATGAACTAAATTATCACATATGTAGATATACCTAATTGTTGATTCTACCATCGAAACAAACGACGGACCTCCACGGGTGGTGGATCGGGGACCTCGATCCTATACATCTGCATATCAATATGAGATGTTTGTTGGATCTAATCATGAAATTGATTCTACGACATAGTGTATTAATACATCGTATGCTATTGATGAATCAACGTGGTGATGATCGTAGGCTGATCGTCATGAATCACATTTGTCCGAGGTAGCTCCTGAGGCATATATTGGTGAATGTCAAAGCTTCTACTTTCGCTACTGATCTGCTGCTCTATACCATACTGTTGCTCAAAGAAGGATGACCAACTATCACCGTACTGCTGTTGCCTGTATGATTCTCCATAATACGACGACTGTGAATACAATGAGCTTTTTTCTGTGTCTACATCATGTAGGCTCTGTTGCATCTGCTCAAATTCATCCACTGCCTTCCCCTTCCCCTTCCGCGCAAATATGAGAAAAAAAGAGTTTGAGATAGTTTAAGAGAGTATGAAAATGAAATGGAGTAAAATAGGGGAGAAGGGTTTAAAAACCTATGAGAAAGGACTCCAACGGTCAATTTAATTGTTGGAGCACTGTTACTAAGCAGTAAAGGTCGATTTCGGTCGTTACAGAGCTATGCCGGGCGGTAAAGGTCGAAATTTCGACCGTTATTGCCTGATATAACCCCGTATCATTCGATACGGGACGCTTTTAAGCGTTCCGCCAAGTACAGGACAGTCCGCGTACCGGTATGCTATCGGACCGGTACATACCGCTTGTACTAGGTGGTATCATTCGAAACTGTATACCTTACTACAAAGTCTATAATTACACAAAAGAACAAGCTTGTACATGTTTCAAGAATAAGACAAAGCTATATAAGACCAAAAGGGAACAAAATTAAGATAAATAAATGTAAATTACATAAAAAACAAAGAAGCAATGAAAATAAAATTTAATACATTACTTGTTTCTTTTATCAAACAACTATTTTCTTTAATGTTGCAAGTTTAGACATTTTTAAACATATGAGTGAAACTATTGAAAGATATAGTTCTAAATTAAAGCCCCCAAGTTATTATGAGTTGAGAGTCCTATTACTAAGAAAGGAGTTAGATTATACAAATTATTATTTGAAGGGTCATAAGGACATATAGGCAAAACATAGTTATTATGTCAAATGCATGAATCGAAAGGAGACAAAGGAGACAAAGGAGTATAATGAATTTTTTATTAAATTGTTCATTATGAACTATGTTACTTGACAAGTTTGTAGCAAAAATTAGAATATACATTATTGTTTAATTTATATTAAACAACAGAAGCAAGTATGTCTTAGTTGACATCACTTTTGCTTTGAATGTTTTAAATTTTTAATTATGTTATTTATATACTTAGACACTTATCATTTTTATTTTCCTCTTTTTTAGGTATATTACTCCAAGAAAAAAAGGTGACATTTATATTAGAATTCATATGCAACATATTATATTGATCTTATGTTATGTTAGAGGATATTAAAAAGATTCTAAATGTTGTTAGTTTAGAGAGTGATTTTTATTGTTGGCTATATATACAATCACATTTTAGCATTAAACATGATTGAAGAATTTATAAGCAAATTGGTGAAATATAGTGTCTCGCTTTGTCACTATATTTTCTCAAAATCATAATCTTATAAACACGTTTACCTCAAAAAAGTGGGTGACATATAAATGGTCAAGATGCTAATGGCAAGAGAACAAATGATATCATTTTGATGTCATCCTTTTGCAATAATATGGTTTATATACTAAAAGTAATGGGTTCTTTTATTAGAGTTCTTGAGGTTACAAATAACAAAAAAATACGACAATGGTATATATATATATATATATATATATATATATATATATATATATATATATATATATATATATATATTTATTTATTTATTTATTTATATTTATATATGAGGCTATGGTGAGAGTTAAAGAAAAAATATAAAAACTTTAGTAAGAATGAGAATTATAAGGATATCTTTGTAATTACAAATAAGAGATGGGAATATCAGCTTCATCATCCATTATAGCAAGATACTATTTAAACCCAAAATTTTTTTATAAAAACTCATCTATTGAGTTTGACAAAGAAGTTGTCAGTGTATTATATTTAATGGATATTTGGTACCTAGCATTGAAATTCAATATGAGATAATAAATAAATTATATTATATAAAAATATTGAGGACCCTTTTAGAATTCCAATGAAGTAATTATTAGCAATTGTATGGACTAATAAACTTAAAAGTTAGAAATACATAATCAATGTTGAGATAAGTGAGTATAGCTAAGTATTAGATGGAGGAATTATTTGCATGACAACGACTTCCCATCCCTTTAAAATGCTCTAGAGGTAACAACCAAGAAAGTAAGAAATAGAGAAAGGATAAAAGCAATATATGTTGATTGATGCAAACTCTAGTGTTACATGTGCGCAGCTAAATGTAATTAAGATGAGCTAAATGTAATTAAGATGCTGAAGATTAAGGGTTTATATCTAATGTTCGCCATTGAATTCTTCTCAAAGTACTTTAAATCCAAGTGTATTGTACAATATATCTTTCGATACAGTACTTGTTAGAGGCCAGGAGCATCTAATTGAATGTAATAGCCTAATAACCAGCAAAACAATTGCCACAAGTTTGATATGATCCTGATGAAATTAAAAAATAATATATCTGCATAAGTAAAGCCAAAATTTTGGTAGAATCATGAACCACAAAGTATATATTATTTGAAGTGTGATTATGTTTATTGCTTATATATATGCCTATGCCATCAACGAAAAGATATTACTTTTATTGTGATCGAAGAAAAGATTGTTTACGTACTGAAAGTCTGGTCAGCTCTCCATGATTTGCAAGCCGTAGTGCAAGCCCTCTCAAAACTTGACCTTGCAAAGCACCCTTCACAGATCCAGCAGAAGCCAGCCTTTTCAGAGCTTCACGAGCAATATCAGCTTGTCCTGTGGCATCTGCAGCATCAATAAGGTCCAAAAATTCCTTAGCAAACTTTGCTATACCCTGGACAGCATCCACAAGATTTTCCTGCTTAACAGCAGTGAGACTGAGAATCTCAGTGATATCTGCAGCAGTAGTTTCTTGACCAACATCCCTGCTATTGCTCATCGTCAACAAGCACTGCAAGGCTCTCTTTAAGTCATTGCTCTGCATGGCCAATTCAAACTCTAACCTGAAGGAAATCAGGGTAAATTTGACCTTAATTTCTCCCTTGAATCTAAACCAGTATCAAATTTCACAATCAGGAGTATACTATTTTATGCTCAAACACAAAACAAGCAGTAAGACATATATAAAAACGGCATGCCACTGATGATGATAATAAATATTTTAAATAACCTTCTATACGAACCTCTTGGATATTCCAGGCAGATGAAGAGCTTCTGTCGCATATCCCATCCCAAGCATGAACTGAGCCAAATCATCATGATGCTCACGACTAAGCCTGGTTGCCCTGCAGCGGTGAGGAAATGCTCACAAGTCTTCTTTCAAAGAAGCTAAATATAAAATATGAATACATATCACAATGGTTTACCATTTCACTGCACTCACTGCATCTCCATATGCAGCAAGACACCGGCAACGAATACCTGGATGGCTGAGAGACAAGGCATGTGCACACATATACCTGATAATAGATCACCACAGCCATCAGGAGAAAATTACTAAACACAAACTGGATGACACAAAAATTATGATCTTAATAGTTTCTTTGCATGGTAGATGAAATTTGATTAGCAAATAGATGTACATAAGCGAGCAAACATATGGATGACCTGGGATTGAAAAAGGCAATCAAGTGAAACAGGAGGTACAAGGAATTTTACTAATCATAATCAATTATGAAGTCAGATTAATAAAAATCAGTGCTCCCCCTTCCATTATGCATATGTAATAAAATAAGAAACAAGAGTAAATCTATTTCTAACAAACATTTTGCAATGTAGTTGCTACAACATATTTTCATGAGAAATTTTTTCTTCCATAGTTACTATGGATCATCCGATGTATATCCATGAATAGTGAACAAAACAGAAAATGAAAAACATGAGAGAAAACCTAAAGCCCTGCCGATATGAGAGCTCTCTCATTGCTTTCAGAATCTCCAGAACAATTTGCTATTTAAACAAACGAATAACCAGGCAAACCTCAAAATTGAAGAAAGCCATTTGATCATTAACCAATTTTCATACAACTATTTGATAAAAATCAAGGATATTAATTTCGCAGGACTGGTCCATGAACCTGTAGGACTACCACATTTCGGGTGATCTAGTCTGGTCTAAAGAAAAACAGTTCTATAATAAAACTTCTATTAATGCTGAGGCTTGATGCCCTCTAAGGCATGCGAAACATGAGCCTTCTCTAAATCTCTCCGTGTCGCCTAACCACCACCACTTACTGCTGTTCCTCCATTCTCCGTCCACTGCTTGCCTCCATATCCAATATTCAAAATAGAAAACCTTGTTAAAAATATCATCTAAAAACAATGTTCTTATCCTCTAATAAAGAGCACTAAAACTACTAGGACACATAATATAGATTTGCAAGTAATATAATGATTAAGGATTTTGCTTCACAATTTCTTTGTTATAACATAACCTTTGAGGCTGCTATCTAATGATTTTTCAACTCTACAACCCATGTATTTTAAGAAAGCAAAATATGATCATCACTGAATTTGTGGAGCACAAAATAATGGTCTTATTTGTAGTTCAGAATCTCGTTTTTTATACACATCCACTATTTGTAAAATTAGCACCATTTCCTCAGTTCCAAGAAACTTTGTCAATATATGACTTCACTTTTTTTATAAAAAAGAATAACATATGAAAATAAAATCATATTAAATTATGCAACGTATGTTAGTCAAAACCTCATCGATTTAATAATGTTATGCACTGAAAAGAAGTTATTAAACAAAAAAATAAGAAAAATAATGATACACATGGCCTATCTGATTGAAGTAGGTGAACATAAAAAAAGCAAAAAATGATTTATTACTATGTCTCATCTACATGGAGAAGAATTTAGCTCTCATTTGTAAATCATATAAATTAGTGGCCGAAAATGTGTGATAATATCATATGCAGTTAATTTCTTATGACGTGCATGGTGCCTTTTAGTGGCAAATCAGATTATAAATATTTTCAATTTTAGGAGCAGTCATGTCATGGTCCACCATCAGACTGTAATCTTTAGGGCCAAAAATTGGCAAAAGATGTTCAATGAAATTATAATTCTGATATTCTGATATTCAATCAAATTAAAGCACATTTAGTTTGAATGACATTAAAACATTTTTAGACACAATTATAATTAAAAGTATTAATCACGTCTACCTTAAAAAGTTTGCTAGCCTTGACAATTTTGAAGTTTCAAGCTGCCAAGTAAACCTATTTTGAATAATCAAGTTTTAGAGCCATTACAGATATGTTAGATCATAGATGTTCTATTAGGTTAGAAATCTTTGTTTTGGTATTACTTGATGCTCTAAAATGCTTGCCTAGTAGGAGCAATAATATTCAACCAATTATGTGATGCGCTATGAGTTTTCTTATAGCACTTTCATGTTTATATATTTTTATGAATTGATCATAACTTTGGAAGTGTTCAATGTCCAAATAGTTTTGTGGCAATACAGTAAGAGTTCCAAAAAGAAGCTTTCGTATTTTTTCTTCATATTGTGAAACTGAATGGCATTAAGTTATTTTCTAAAATTTGGATGCATGGTTGAAACTTACTTGTTTATCCAGCCTATGGCATTTTTTCCCCCAAAAAGAAGTATCATGTCATGGATATTAGAGCGTGCACAAGACACAATTGAAGGCTCAAGAAAACTAATGATTCTTTAACAATGATCAAAAGATTTAAAACAGATTTTGATATATTCAAACTACAACAGCATTTAGATCTATTTGAGAGATTATGGCCTTCCTACATGTCGTTCTCGTAAAAGGAGCTTAGGATCAAAGGGCTGTCAAGGTGCAATAACTAAAGTTGTAAACTTGACCAGCAACGTTTGGTGTTTATTACTTAATCTCTGAAAGTGACATGTGTAAACATATGAATAGAAGCATGATGAAGTTCATGGCACATTGTAATTCTCATCAGCATTATGACCCTCATGATTTCAGCTGACCAAATATTTCAACCATCAATACAACAAGAAATTGCGAGTTCAATAAAAATATTGAACTTTGAAGTAATCTATTATATGTATTGTCTAGACAAACTAACAATGCAAGTTTCTGGTCAGATCCAATATGTGAAATAAATGTGTCAACAGATTTAAGGTTTCAATCAACAAGAATGTGATCTCACCTGTCAATAAGCCAAAGAACCCCATCTCTAACTCCAACCACAACAAGAGGCCCTATGGGGCGTTTCTGTTCTGGAGGAAAACGAGTAGCTGCTACAGATACACCTCCTCCAGCGACAGCAACTTCATTCACTTTTTTTTCTTCCATCTCTTTTGGCAACACTGTATCTTCCCCATCTACTTTGTGCTGCTTGGGCAATGTTATGAATGGTGGTATAGAAGGAGCATCCTGAAATGAGGCTAATCGAACTACCTATGAATGGACACATTGATGTATTAGAATAAATTGGGACTTGATACTTGATTTTCATCATTGCAAGTACAAATTGGCATTTCCAATAAACCATGACATTAAAAATTAAAACAAGCTGATAAAATAACTGGGGATGACAAAAGTCCATCCCATAATTTTGTTAAAATGGCATTTTCAATATAGTCACAAATGACTAGAAATTCTAGGTTATAAGGATGAAAAAATTGAATTTATCTCTTCAGATCCATCAAAGAATAAAGTGTAGCTAAGCTGTGATTAGCCCTATATTATATCTAACGATTTTTAATTGGGTTTGGATCTAAAAGTAAGAAAATGACACTAATTAGCTCTAATCAGAGTAAAATCTTATTAAATAAAATAAAAAACACTTAATCAATCAATAAATTCATAATAAAATAACTAAGAACAAGATATAAAGAGCCCCAAATTATACCAAATGACCCCTAATTGGATTTACAAGAAAATAACATTGATTATCACTAATTAGACTTTGATCACATTAAATATAAGAAAAACAATCAATCAACCAATAAATTCACAAGACTGAGTGAGACTGAGTGAAAGAGAGAAAGGAAGGAGGTTTTAACAAGCTACAACATATCCCAATGGTCGATTTGATCGTTGTGTCATGGACTTAGCTAGTTTTACCTAGTGGTAGATGTAAAAACCTCAGGTGTTCATCTAGATAAAATTGGAATCAAGCACGTTCTGAGGAGGTTCCATTTGATCAGAGAGATCGTAGCCCATGATAATGTAGCAGTAGAAAGAGTTTTATCCGAGGATAACATTAAAGATCCACTTATTAAGCTATCGTCTCAAATTATTTTTTAGCGTCACCAGAGTCTGATGGGGATTAAACATATAGGTGATTGGCTTTAAGTCAAGAGAGATATTACTAGTTATAGGTGGCCTACAAACCAATCACATGTGTGATGACACTTGTGATCCGCTACACAATCTTTGTTAGTTAATAATGTTATTTTCTCACTTTGTATTGCATAATGAATATATATTGTGATGCCCTTAAATTTGTGCAACGAGAATTGAATCATAATAAGATTATGATAATAAGACCAATTCTTTTTAAACACAAATCCTAAATATTCTTGGTCATAGATTATTCGAGAAGGACATCGAGATAATCGAACAGACCGATGTACTAAATACTCGTCCATATGATGGAGGCAACTGGTCTCATAGCTACTTGTGTAAGGACCCTAGAGATATAATGCAGATGCTTATTGAAAAATGAGTTCATTGAATGATCCGCTTATGGAATGCTGGATGGTTACTGATACCTTATCGTTAAATAATGATTCTGTAGTCATAGTTGTGTATCTGATCCTTAGACTTGAGACACAAAGAATGTCTTATTTTAGTACTCCATTCTTTAATACCGGACTTATAGATCTCGAAGTTTTAAATCTAGTACAACTGATCATTAGAAATGACAACCAACCTTATTAATGCAATTGTATGTCAATAAAGAATCATCCACTCTTAGTATCATGAGAGGAATATCTCGTGTGTTCTCACTTAGGCAAATCCCTAGCTATGGTCGATTGGATTGAGAGAGAAGTTCTTTGGGAGAATCCGATAAAAGTGAGACTCGGATGGATTCCATATGGGTCTGACAGCACCATGCCCAATATACGATATCTGGGATATTAGATGGATAAGGGACTATAGATATATGGTAACTCAGGGTAGATAGGTCCAATGGATTATATCCCCTTGTACCGTCTAGGGACTATGACGTAGTGGCATAGTACGTCTATAGTCGATGAGTTGAGTGAATTATTACAGGATAATAATTCATTGAGTCAGAAAGAGTTCTGAGTCAGAAGGAGTTCTGAGTCAGAAGGGGTTCTGATAGGTGTAACACATGACTAGCTCGGTATTGGGCTTAGAGGGTCACACACATAGGTGGATGATGTGATAAATAGGGGATTAGATATGGGATATCCAATAAGCCTCCTTTAACCTCTTAATGGATCTATTGGGTGAAACCTAATGGAGCATGGAGCTTAGAGTAGTTATTGGATGAGGATCCAATACCTATTAAGCCTTTACATGAGGATCTATTAAGGTTACCTAGAAGGGGCTCTCTATAAATGAGAGTGGTTCTCCAAGAGTCATAGGCAAGAGGGAACGCCCCTTCCTTGCTCACTACTGCTGCCGCCCTACTGTGTGATGGAGCATCGTCACGAGGAGGAGGAGAGCCACCGTCACTGTCCACCGTGTGAACTTCCGTTAGAGAGGAATTCGCGAGAGCTCCTTCAACCAGCGAGCCAAGATCTGCGCGTCAAGGGATATACGAGTTCCCTTATGTGAGAATGTCTCACCCATTCTTAATGAGGTTTTGATTTTTTGCCTTCCGGTCATCTCCCAACGATCCAATGTTATTTTGTTTGGGAATAATTTTTTGTTTTTGTTTTCGCTACGCATGTGATGCATCATTTTCCAAAAGTGGTATCAGAGCTAGGCTCCCTAGGGTGACGACCATTTTTTTTTATCTCATGTTGTGTAGACTAAATTTTTCGTAACCAAGTTACATTTTTCATCGATTTTAAGTTAAGACAGCATACAATTTTGGCATCTGAAATGTTCAGATAACCAAGTCGAGCGCCGCTACGATGGTCCTGACAGCACAAACTTGCTAATCATAAGTGCCCTGCAAGCCAATCATATGAGTGATAGCACGTGTGATATGACACACAATTTTTTTGTTATTATATTATTTAGAATTTTATCACTTTATATTGCTTATTGCATGTATAAATATATAATGATGTCCATGGATCTATGCAATGGGAATCGGATCGTGATAAGATTACGATAATGAAATCGATTCAGCTTTCAACACAGATCCTAAATAATCCTAGTCATAGATTACTCGAGAGGGACATCGAGATAACCGGACAGACTGGTGTACTGTATACTCATCCATATGATGGAGGCGACTAGTCTCATAGCTGCTCGTGTAAGGACACTAGGGCTACAATGTTGGTTCTTATTGAAGAATGAGTTCAATGATTGATTCGCTCACGAAATACTGGATGGTTGATGATACCTCATTGCAAGGTTCGCAATACCGTACCGTACCGGTATTTTGACTTGGGCTCGGTACCTGTACGGTACGGTATACCGAGCGATACACCCAGGTGTACCGAGCGATACACTCAAGTGTGCCGAGTACTGTAGCACTGCTACAGTGCTACAGTGCACTCGGACCGGTATGTACCGCCCGTACCGGGCGGTACAGTTCGGTACTGTAGACCCTGTCTCATTGTCAGACAACGATTCCGTCGTCCCACTGGTATACCTGGTCCTTAAACTTGAAACACCAAGGATGTCCTGTATGAGTACTCCACTTATAGGTTTGAAAGTTCCAGATCTCGCATAGCTGGTTATCGGGAGTGTCAACCAACCTTAAGAGGGCTATTAAGTGTCCATAGAGGATCCCTACTCGGTGTCATGAGAGGAATATCTCATGTATTCTTGCTCAAACAAATCCTTGACTAAGGTCATTTGGATTGAGAGAGAAAGAGCTTCTCCGGGAGATTCCGATTAAAGCGAGACTTGGACATGCCCGGTATACGGTCGGGTTAAGTTGACAGGGGACCTCTATAAATAGAAGGGAACCAAAGGCCCATAAGCTAGGGGCTTCTAAGTTGTCATCTCTTATTCTCCTCTCCCCTTCTCCTCCTCAAATAGCAAGTGTGGAGATTTGGACAATGATTCGAGGAGCATCTTCACAACCCCTACCGTGTGAATCACCACTAGAGAGGAGGACGCTTAACCTCCTTCATCCTCCCTCACAGATCTGCAGAAATTCAGGAATATACGATCTCCCTAGGTAACACAATCTTTTATATATGCAGTTTTCGGTTTTGCAAGTTTTTGCGCAACAATCTTCGCACAATGACAAACACCTTTTAGAAAATCTAGGATTTTTATTTTATGTTCTTCCACTGCGCATGTGATGTCAACCTCTAGATTTTCCTACAAAACTTAGGCTGCCACAAAGTATTCCTGAAGGCTTGCAATCTGGCCGAGAGCAGTGGCGATAATATAGGTGGCCAATTTTCCAATTGGCCAATAAGTTTTCTTGGCGGCCAGGGCTTCCTAGTAGCCAAGGATACCTTGCGGCCAAGGATTCCTGATGACCAAGGTTACCTAGAGGCTAGGGTTTCACAAATTGGATTAATAGTTAGTATAAGTTTAATTAATTATCACCTAGTTAGTTCGATATATATATATATATATATATATATATATATATTATAGGCAGATAATCATAGACCATAAGTGGATGTTTGTATATGTAAGTGTGTGATGATTTATTAGGGCCTGTGAGCCTCCCTCTCTCTCTCTTATTTAAATCCGACATGTATAAAATCCTATCTCCCTTAAATTGTATCTCCCCTTGATGAGATTAAGGTTTTTTATTTGTATAAAATATATATTTTGGACCAGTATGCTTGTAATTAAATTATAATTGCATAAGAAGGCGCGGTAGGATCATAGAAGTACTAGCAGGATCGATGAAGACGAGAAGATAACCAGGCATGGAGATGTGCCGAGACACATAGGTTTTTTATTTGTGACCAAGCCTTTTGACTCAGGCTTGATCACGCTAGTTCCTAGTCTATGATCATCTAGTGTGGAGATATCTATATATATATTTATTTATTTATTTCGGCACCTACTAGGTATATATTTGCATGCGATGTAAATATATATGCTATATATATGTGTGACGCATTATATTTAGCTACAAGACCAAATCAAATCGAAAAAACCACTTCGGTAATAATATTAAGTCAGTAAGCGTAAGACAATGAGATTGACCCATATATCTGCATGCTATTAATTTTCTGTTGCATCTTTATTTTTTAAAAAAATTTCGATTGCAAACCCCTTACATGTTATACTTGATGTCAACAGTCTTACTAGTCTGAACTACACGGATTGAT